GAGAGAGAGAGAGAGAGAGAGAGAGAGAGAGAGAGAGAGAGAGAGAGAGATCCTTCTACTACTGCTCTCATCGTTTAGAGATAGACATGCTTGACTTTGGCTCGACACTTTTGGTAGACTCCTCCCACAGACAGAGTTGATACGTCTTTTTTGTTGGAGGAGATTGAAAGAACGGGGGGTTGTCAGAGGAGATAGATTGTTTATTGGCATCTCCATATGTCAAGTACTTCTGGAGATTCTCCCGTGTATGCCTCCTCCCTGCGGGTGTCTGTCCTCATTTTTGCTGCACTGTTTTCTCCACCTTTTCCATAGTATGACTTTGGTTCCCAACATGTCCAATTCAGACGTTGGACATGTGACATTTAATTCCATTCAAAACCCGACAGAAGTACAACGTGGACACAAGTGAGACTCTCACACCCAGTTTAAACTTACCCCACCATTACCGTGCCCAGACCAACTACAGAGTTGAAAATGCGACATTCGGGTTCTTTGGACGAACAATGCTACCAACACCAGCCAACACAAAAATGAAAACACCTCTTTGACACTTTGTTCTTTTTCGTTGTGCGCAGGGGAACTGTGGCATACTGCGTAGCCACACGGGCCCTGCAGGGCCCGTCCCGGACATTCAGCCTAAAAGCCTAAAACTTAGGGCTTACATGCGCCGTTCGTTTAAGCCTGGAAGCTGAAAAACGAGGGCCTGCAGGCCCTACCCCGTTTCAACCTATTTCTGGGTCTTTTCAGACCTAGAGTTTTCAGCCTGAAACGGAGGGCCATTTTCAGGCCCTCATTGTTTTGACCTGCCCCTAAGACTCAGGCACGTAAACAGGGATGCGGAACAGGCCAGAAATAGCCTGTTCCTCAYGAGTTTGAGCAGGAGCTGCAGCTGCAGCCCCTGCCTCCCTTCGGCAGGCTCAGGAGGCACACCCGGTAGTACATAGGAAGTTCCCATGCACTTCACAGGAGGTAGTTCAGTAGGCACGAGGTAGTCTTCAGGAATTCGGYYGCAACACTCARGARGAGCGCTRCAGTAGTCTTCAGCGCTAGGCAGGTATTAGCGCTAGCTGTAGTCTTCGGCGCTGGGCGCCCAWAGCCTTAGARGTAGTCTTCAGCGCTGGGCGCTATGGTAGGTGGTAGATCGTAGAGTGAGAGAGAGACTGGCGGAGGCCAGTGGTACTTACCTGTGGCGCCATCGCTCCAGCTCTATCTTCGTGGTACCTGCATCAAGACGCCAACGTCACAGGTTAGTACTGGACACAGAGAGAGAGAGTTCTTCTTCTTCCTCTTCTAAGTCCACCTTCTCTTCTCACCCTCTCGCCACCTGACTTCTCAGACTACGACAGAGAGAGACAGAGTTGTGACTTGAGACTTGACGACATTGGATCCAGACTTGACATTTGGGATTCAGACATTTCGATGAGGGACTATTTGGGCTTGTGCCGAAGACTTGGTGTTGACGACATTCCCATCTTCCGCCTCCTCTTCGTCTATCCCCTTCCTCTTCATCTATGTATGGTATGGGCTGGCGCAGTCTTCCTGTGTGAAGCGCCAGGCCCATTTCACACCATGTAACGATGATGATGATGTATGTTCAGGGCTGCATTGCAACATTGATTGTTCGGATCACTGGTATCTAAGTCTTCCGTTGTGCTATCTTATACTTTGTATTGAAAGGTCGTTCTGGTCTACACGTTACAGTATGCAACAGTTTGGTATCGGAGCGGACCTCTCATTCAGAGGACCCGCTCAATCAAGTAGCCAGCTTGCGATCTATTGATCATTCATTAGTGACGCAAGCAAATCTCTGAATTTTTTTTTTTCTCGCAACAACTATCTGAAATTTCTGATATTCGCATTTTTGTTCTATCTGAAAATTTCTGATATTAGTAGTTCGTTTTTACGTAACAAATATCTGAAAATTTCTAATAAATCGTATTTCGTTTGGTCTGAAATTTCCGATAGCAGCATTTCATTTCTCTGATATTTCGCATACATAGCTGAAATTTCTGAAGTTAGTATTTTTGTTCTCTAGGCATATTGGGATAACGATAGAAGTAGTCATATTTTCGAAAATTGAAATTATTCTTTTCTGAAAATCACATTTCCATTCTATCTCGCAATTTTTTTTTTGAAAACTGAATCTTGCGAAGCCTACCAATATTGCGTTAGGCATATTCGGAGGTTGCAATATTCTCAGAATCTGGATATCGTTCTTTTCTGAAAATCGCATCTTTTCTCCATTTCGCAATTTTTTTTTTCAAGATTGCAGTTTGTAAAAACCGAAACTTTGCGGAACCTAGCCTAGATCTCGTTCATAATACTCTTTTGACATATCCTACTCATCATAGATCGACATATATATAATAAAAAAAAAAAAAGGAAGTAGTCCTCTTTTATTTTTTATTTTTTTATTTTATCTGTTGATTAGGGCCGGTGGAAAGTATTGTTGGGTTGGTTACCTACCTACGTTTTCCCTCCCACCCACCCCTTGCATGCATCCCGGTTCGGTACAGTGCCATGTCAGCAGCGCCACGTCACAGTGCCAGATCAGCAGTGCCACGTCAGCAGTGCCGCGTCACAGTGCCACGTCTGCAGTGCCACGTCACAGTGCTAGATCAGCAGTGCCACGTCAGCAGTGCCACTTCAGCAGTGCTAGGTCACAGTGCCACGTCAGACTCAGTGCCACGTCAGCAGTGATGTCAGACACAGTGCCACGTAAGCAGTGCCACATCAGCAGTGCCACGTCAGACACAGTGCCACGTCAGACAAAGTGCCACGTTAGCAACATGACGGGCCTGCCAGGCCAACTGGCCAATGAGCCCATTGCCGACTACAAAAAAGCGTGTCCATGCTCAGCTCGCTGCAATCGAGGCTGAGGAACAACGCCAGTTGGCAGTCAAGGCTGCCCAGCTACAGGCTGATGAAGCGGCAACAGCAGAGAAGCTGCGGCTACAGGCCGAAGCAAACGCAGATGCCCAGGCTCGCCGCAAGGAAGCCCAGGCTCTGCTGCAGCGACATGAAGCCAGCAGCATCGAGAAAATCAAGTACTGGCATTTTGAACCAAACGGCGACGAGCCAACACCGGAAGAGCAGCATAAGGAGTTCATGGCCAAGCTCGTGAGCAGGTTGGTTTACACATATGACCACCTACAGTCCGAGCTGGCAAACCTCCAGCGGGCCGTGTGGAACCRAAAGACTTAGCACGAGGATGCCACACGGGCACTGGACGCCCGTGTACATGACTGGGAACAAGTTCCACCAAGACAAGATGCTGGAGCTTCCAGCATTGCATCCTCTAGCCGCCAACTGGAGGAACGCGTTGACCACGTAGTGGCAATGCTCGGCGACATCAACACCTTTGCTGCGCCAACCACCGTTAGCAGTCAGCTGCATACCTTGAAGACCGAGTTCCAGCAGCTGCAGTCGACGAACGCGGATGAGAATCCGAAGATGTACAAGATGCCAACTTTCCAACTGGACAAGTTTGACGACTACACACAGCAGGATCCGGTCCTCTGGTGGGAAGCATTCACAACGCAACTCAGGATTCTGCCGGTCGCCAAGCACGCGTACATCGACGCCCTGTTCCTGAACTCGAAGGGCGGATGCCAGACCTGGTTGAGCCACCTGGCAACCTCTCATGGCGTCGACGTACCGGACTTGAAGGATAAAATCACATGGGAGGAACTGACACGGCTGTGGAAGAAGCGGTTCATCGTCGACGACGCACCGACTCTTGCCATCAACCGTCTGTTCACCATGTCACAAGGCAACACTGCATCACGGGATTGGCTCACGGAGTGACAGAAGATTGCGGCGGTGCCCAATCTGGAATTGACATTCACGCATCTACGCCGTGAGTTCTACAACAGGTCCTGTGCTGCATTGAGCCAGGCTCTTGGTGATCGCGAACAGTACTCAACCTTTGCCGAGATTATTGACAAAGCAAGGGAGATCATCAAGACCAACAGGTCAGCTGCACACGAGAAGTCACCATGGCAGCCGACCTATGTGGAGAAGGTACGAACTCGTCCGCGACAGCAGCACTTCGCTGCAGTCCAGCAGGACAGTGGAGATAACCCAGCAGCCACTCCAGCATCAAGTGACGAAGATCAGGTGGCTGCTGTCCAGCCACGAAGCAACAACAAGTCCCGCAACAATGGGAAGGCGAAATCCGCATCGCATGCAGGAAATGGACAGCCAGTACAAGTTCCATGGGTCAAGTTTGGCTTGACCGAGGCGGAGTACAAGGTCCACGGCCGCTACGACAACTGCTATTGGTGCAACAACACCAAGCACAAGACCTCCCTGTGCCAGGATCAGGGCAAGGAGGATGTGCGACCCCGCCTCAGCTTGGGAAACTGAGCTCCGCTGAAGGTGAGGCGACTCCACCTTCTACTCCGCCAGATTAGGCCGCCTTGCTAGCGGCCTCCTGCACATCTGGGGAGAACGCGAATGTCGCAGGTTCTCCTTACACTTACGTAGACTATGCTGTCCACTTGGTTCCACCGCTCGACCAACCGCTCCACGTGCAACAATCTACCGCATGCACGGTTTCAACACCATCGGCAACCGATTCGGCAGTTTCGCCGCCATCTATCACCGCGGATTCATCGTCGAGGTCAAGACTTGAGGTGCTCGACCCATTGACGTTCACGGACTTCCAGTGGATGCCCGTTCCCCCGACCAGACGATTGCTGAAACCGCATTGCAATGTGCTCATGGCACAACTGCGAGATTACTTGCACACTGCAGTACCGACTCCGTTGATGGACGCCGGAGTAGAGGTCGTCGACCTTCACGTTTATATCGCGAAGATCGACCGTGAGTTCAAGACGCAACGGTACGACGACATCGACACACCATTGCTATACGTACACATTCAGATCGGAGAGGCGACCTGCAGTGCCTTGATCGATTGCGGAGCATCTCGCAACTACATCAGCCAGAACTTCATGGTGCGCGCCGGCCTTGGCCCACGTGTCCGGAGGAAGCCCCAGCCTACGCAAGTCACATTGGCGGATGGTCACACGCACAAGTCAATCGACCGGTGCATTGACAGCGTCCCAGTGTACTTTGCCCCTCACTCAAGTGAGGCGGTGTCCTTTGACATTCTGGACACCAAATTCGACATGATCTTGGGCATGTCATGGCTGCGAAGCAAGGATCACCCGGTGAACTTCTTCAACCGCACCGTTCACGTTCGTGACCGGAACAGAGTATTAGTTCCATGCACGGCGCCTCTTCCTCATCCTTCGATCAGCCGCCACGTGGTATCCGCCGCAAGCATGCGAGCTTCCATCACCAGAGACGACATCCAGGAGATGGGGGTGTGTTTTCTCCACGCCCTCCCGCCCCATGACGCTTCATCGACGGACTCACCTTCGGATCTACGCGTCACCGAACTTCTCAACGCCTACAGCGACTTGTTCGAAGGCCCGCACGGAGTAGTACCGGATCGACCCATCCGCCACGAGATCATCCTCGAGGACGGGACCGTACCTCCGCGCGGTTGCATCTACCGAATGAGCGTGGAAGAGTTAAGTGTGCTTCGGGCACAACTCGACGACCTTCTAGAGAAAGGCTGGATTCGGCCTAGCTCATCGCCATACGGTGCTCCTGTTCTCTTCGTTCGGAAGAAGAACAAGGACCTGCGGATGTGCATCGATTATCGTAAGCTCAACGCGCAGACGATCAGGAACGTCGGCCCTCTCCCACGCATCGACGACCTTCTCGAGCGATTGGGCGGCGCCCAGTTCTTCTCTAAGATGGATCTCAAGTCAGGGTACCACCAACTCAAGATTCGCAAGGAGGATCGCTACAAGACCGCGTTCAAGACACGGTATGGGCATTTCGAATGGCTGGTCATGCCATTTGGCCTTACGAATGCCCCAACCACTTTCCAAGCGGCTATGACGACGGAGTTCCGACACATGCTGGATCCTTTCGGACTTATCTACCTCGACGACATTCTGGTTTACAGCCGGAGTCTGGACGAGCATGTGGAACACCTGCGCACCGTTTTGGAGCGGCTACGACAGGCCAAGTACAAAGCAAACAGCGACAAGTGCGAGTTCACACAGCAGGAGCTGGAGTACTTGGGACACTATGTGACGCCGCAAGGCATCCGTCCGCTTGCGGACAAGATCGAGGCCCTACGAGTATGGCCCGAGCCCACCAACACCACGGACATTCGTTCATTCATGGGGTTGGCGGGCTACTATCAACGATTCATCACCGGATACTCCAGGATTGGTGCACCTATGATGAGGTTACAGTCGCCAAAGGTGCCATTCGTATTCGATGACGACGCACGCCGGTCATTCCAAGCACTTAAGACGGCTATGCTCATGGCACCCGTCCTTAGCATCTATGACCCCACCCTGCCAACGCGAGTGACTACGAACGCTTCCGGCTATGGCATTGGGGCAGTCTTGGAACAACACGACGGCGACGACTGACACCCTGTGGAGTATTTTAGCCACAAAGTGCCTCCCATCAACTCGCTTGATGATGCAAGGAAGAAGGAGCTGCTCGCATTCGTGATGGCTCTCAAGCGCTGGCGGCACTTCCTCCTTGGGCGTCGTAGGTTCACATGGGTCACAGACAACAATCCATTGACCTACTACAAGACGCAGGACACGATAAGCAGCACGATCGGACGATGGATGTACTTCATCGACCAATTTGACTTCACACCGAAACATGTCCCCGGCCTCTCCAATCGCGCAACAGATGCACTCTAGCGAAGACCTAATCTTTGCGCGATGACACATCATGCCTTCGCATTCGACAAGGAGCTTCAGCGACACTTCATCCGGGCATATCAGTCTGATCCGGACTTCGGCACGCTCTATGCACAGCTATCTTCGGATCACCTGCCGGCCAGCCATTACCGCATTGCCGACGGGTACTTGCTCCTCCACTCGAGAGGCAAGGAATTACTATGTGTCCCACGCGACCGTCGTCTTTGGACTCGCCTCCTCAACGAGTATCATGATTCACGACTTGCCGGCCATTTCGGAGTCAACCGCACTATTGCACTGCTTCGACAACGATTCCGATGGCCAGACCTCATTACCGATGTCACTCGGTATTGCGACTCTTGCGAAGTTTGCCGACGCAGCAAGCCCCACAACCGCAATCCCTACGGCGAGTTACACCCGATGCCTATCCCACGGGAACCCGGTCTCTCCATCGCCATGGACGTCACCGGTCCGTTTCCTCACGACCGGCTCGGGCACGACGGCATCCTCACGATTGTAGACCGATTGAGTAAGTACGCGCGTTTTCTCCCTTGCAAGTACTACTCCTCGGCTCCCGAGCTGGCACGCCTCCTGCACACTGGTTGAATTTGTGGCTACGGTGTACAAGACGACATTGTCAGCGACCGCGACACTCGTTTCATGTCGGCGTTTTGGACTGCTCTCATGCAGGAGTCCGGCACAACAATGAAACCAAGTTCGACTCGACATCCTCAGACAGACGGGCAGACGGAGCGGGCACATCAAACCGCTCAAATGATGCTTCGTACACTTATCCGTCCGAACCAGAAAGATTGGGTTGACCGCCTCCCCGACATCGAGTTCGCCTACAACACTTCGGTGCATCCGGCGATCGGCGTGACTCCATTCAAGTTGCACCACAGTGGACGGAAAGGCCAGATCTTCGCAGACCTTCTCCTCCCTCGACCAGCCGACATTGACGCTGCCTGCTCTCCCGCTTCCGTCCGGAAGTACAGGGAATTGCTAACTCAAGCCCGCACAAATATGCAAAAGGCTCAAGTTCGCATGCAACAGCAAGCCAACAGGCGTCGCGTACCATGTCCCATCCGCGCCGGTGATCTGGTTGCGGTCTCCGCGGAAGAGTTTTCACTGGAACAAGATGTTTCACGCAAACTGCCTCCCAAGTGGTTTGGACCTTGGTCTGTGACAGCAGCCGCGGGCGATGAGCCCGATGGCCCTTCATTTGTGATCAGCATTCCAGAGCATCTGACGGTCCATCCGGTCTTCCACGCCTCGAAGCTGGCAACATACACGCCAGCCAAGAGTGACGACTTTCCGCACCGACGATCGCAGGACCCTCCTTCTATGGATGGTCATTAGGAAGTTGACCGCGTCATCTCCGATCGCAAGTACGGCAGCAAGCCGCGACAGTACAAAGTCACATTCAAAGCATGCGATCGCGACGACACTTGGTGGATTTCAGGGGCAGATTTGACAGCATCCGCACTGCTGATCTACGCGCATTATGAAAAGCGCAGGTTAGCTCAGGAAGCTTCACGACCAGCCCCTTCCACCCGGACCGTGGTCCCTCCCTCAGACAGACAGCTTCGCCCTCGCAGGTAAGCTCGCTTCTTCAAGGAGGGGGGGGGGTGGCATACTGCGTAGCCACACGGGCCCTGCAGGGCCCGTCCCGGACATTCAGCCTAAAAGCCTAAAACTTAGGGCTTACAGGCCCCGTTCGTTTCAGCCTGGAAGCTGAAAAACGAGGGCCTGCATGCCCTACCCCGTTTCAACCTATTTCTGGGTCTTTTTCAGCCTGAAACGGAGGGCCATTTTCAGGCCCTCATTGTTTTGACCTGCCCCTAAGACTCAGGCACGTAAACAGGGATGCGGAACAGGCCAGAAATAGCCTGTTCCTCATGAGTTTGAGCAGGAGCTGCAGCTGCAGCCCCTGCCTCCCTTCGGCAGGCTCAGGAGGCACACCCGGTAGTACATAGGAAGTTCCCATGCACTTCACAGGAGGTAGTTCAGTAGGCACGAGGTAGTCTTCAGGAATTCGGTCGCAACACTCAGGAGGAGCGCTGCAGTAGTCTTCAGCGCTAGGCAGGTATTAGCGCTAGCTGTAGTCTTCGGCGCTGGGCGCCCAAAGCCTTAGAAGTAGTCTTCAGCGCTGGGCGCTATGGTAGGTGGTAGATCGTAGAGTGAGAGAGAGACTGGCGGAGGCCAGTGGTACTTACCTGTGGCGCCATCGCTCCAGCTCCATCTTCGTGGTACCTGCATCAAGACGCCAACTTCACAGGTTAGTACTGGACACAAAGAGAGAGAGAGAGTTCTTCTTCTTCCTCTTCTAAGTCCACCTTCTCTTCTCACCCTCTCGCCACCTGACTTCTCAGACTACGACAGAGAGAGACAGAGTTGTGACTTGAGACTTGACGACATTGGATCCAGACTTGACATTTGGGATTCAGACATTTCGATGAGGGACTATTTGGGCTTGTGCCGAAGACTTGGTGTTGACGACATTCCCATCTTCCGCCTCCTCTTCGTCTATCCCCTTCCTCTTCATCTATGTATGGTATGGGCTGGCGCAGTCTTCCTGTGTGAAGCGCCAGGCCCATTTCACACCATGTAACGATGATGATGATGTATGTTCAGGGCTGCATTGCAACATTGACTGTTCGGATCACTGGTATCTAAGTCTTCCGTTGTGCTATCTTATACTTTGTATTGAAAGGTCGGTTCTTGTTCTGGTCTACATGTTACAGTATGCAACAGGAATCCTCCTCGGCAAAAAGAGGCTCTGAGGTGCTGGTGGTTTATAAACCACAAGCTCAAAACAAAAACACTGGTGTACAACCTACACCTGTGAAGTACTGCTCTCCAGCATGCTGAATCACAAGCAGAGTTTGACATTAACATTGACAACTTCAACCACACAAATTGCACCCCACTGACCAAGGGATCCCCCTCCTCTCTCTCTCTCTCTCTCTCTCTCTCTCTCTCTCTCTCTCCCCTCACCATCAATGTCGGTAGTGTGAAAAAAATTCCACCGTGGTCTTCTCCCGCCACAGCTAATTTTCTCCTCCTCGTCTTCCTTGTTGTCTTCGTTTCCTTCTTTTTCACCTTCTCCCTTCTTCCCCCAACAGAAGGTACTGTCAACACTCATCACGGACGTAATGGAGCGCAAAGATAGCTTGTACGCATTCCAAACGGGGGAGTGCGCACACGCTATCCTTGCAGTCCGGTACAGACGCAGTGAGGTTGTGTTGTGTTTGGGGGAAGAAGGGAAGATGCGCCTGCAGAGACTCTCTCTCACTTTGTGGCCGTGAGGCTTCCTTCTTCCCCCCAGAACAACGCACCATTATCGCGGCTGCATCGGAATGCACAGACAGCTCGCATACATTCGTTACACAGGGTAAACGTATACAATCCAATCTCAGGTACAGCCGTGGTGAGGGTGCTGGCAGGGGTGCATTGTTTTCGGGGTAGGAAGGGAAGCGGTAGGGGGCCTGGTAGAGGGCCTGGGACGGTCTTGGATGGCGCGGGGTGGCATGGGCCTGGGACTTTCCACGCCACGAAAGTGCTGATTCAAACTGGGGCTGCAACGAAAATGCCATTTCGTGTTCTTTTTGCCTTTTGAACCTGCGGCTGTGATGAAAGTGCCATGTTGTGTTTTTAAACTTTTTTTTTTAACCTTTTCAAACTCAAAACCTGACATCGCCGCCATTGTTTCGATTTTATTACTGGTTCAGGATTCGAACTTGGTAGGTTTATCAAAACGCAAATTTAAAGAAAAAAAAAAGAGGATATTAAAATAAAATTTCTAAGTAAGGAAAAGAAAGAAATAGAGCGTAGGGGTGTACCATTCAGCAGCATGGGCTGCGTTACACCCAAAGCCGCCATTTATTCAGGACTGCTGATCAAAACTCCGAGGAAAGTCAGACGACGTCATTGGGAAACTATTCAGCAAACTCGACGAGTACCATTCGGCCACACGGGCTGCGTTGGACCGAAGCCGCCATTTGTTCAAGACTGATGATAAGAGCTCAGAAGGCAGTCAGACGACGCCATTGAAATAATATTCAGCAAACTAAACCAACCCGCTTCCAGAGCCTTTAACCGTTGATATCAGAAGTAGCCCTCCCTGTCCATCAGTGGCCTACTCACATTTGGACTTTTTCTACTCAGCTCTGGTGCTCTGGACATAATTGAGGTCATATACATCCACAGTTTACAATTCAGTGGGATACATGTAGGGAAGTCCCAGTTTCCTCAGTGGTTACATGAACGTAAAAAAAAAAAACACGGATCGAGATATACGAGCAATGTGCGAGCTGAACCAATCAGAAGACTTGCGCCATTCCTGTCCAGAGCCCATAGGTGCTGAGACAAAGCCAGAAATCTCTGCTCTTCCCTCTTCCTGATCACGCGGCCTTCCCTATTCTCGACCTCATTCACTGACACTGCTCACAAACCCACCTTCCCGTGCTATTTTGTTCCAATGCGCCGGCCACCAGTTCATGCCCCTGCCTGTCCCTGCTATTGTGGTAAACTGCACCCGGGCCTGTGCCCTTCGGCAGAGGCCCAGTAGAGCTTTGGGGCAAAGGACTGGTGGGCCTAAAAAATCAAAGAGGTGCAATGGATGGGCAGACACCAGATGTGAAAACACCAAACACGGCCAGACAATGAAAGCTAAAGTGCGAGCTTTGAAAAAAAGACAAAAAAAAAAAGAGTCAAAAAGAGCTAAAAGGAAAAAAAAAACTTATGAGGCCCGCCACTTGGCGGGTGGAAAAGGATTCTGACGAAATAAAGAACGAGAACACATAGGGCAGACCCAGAAAAACGAAGTACGGGCAAAAGAGCAGAGGTAGTGTCCTAAGCCCGCCACTGACGCGGGGACAAAACGTCCCCTCAGTGCTGTCAGGCGTGCCCTCCTGCCGTGATAGGCTGGAGGAAACGACAACAAATCGTCAGTTTTCTTTTCCTTTTTTTTGGTTCGAGTTTTAGAAGCAACGAGCCTATGAATGTGGGTCAGGCGCACCGGACAGAGATAGCTGGTGTCGCCAGGCAAATTGTGCTCCACGCCAGTTCGGCCGGAATTGGCATGCAGTGAAAGTCCGCGCCGCGAAAAAGAGGGTTGGAAGGAAAGGTGAAAGTCCACATCGCGGAAAAGAGGCTCGGAAGGACCGGTGGTTTAATGTGCTCATTACCCCGGTGACCCTACCACTGCAGAGAAGAGCTGGTTCAGCATCATCAGGAAAGGCACACCTAAGAAAATAAATAAACAAGGGAAAAAAGAACGAAGCCACACTTTGGAAAAACTGCAACCTGGACACGGAGGTGCACCAAAGAACCAAATGGATTAAAAAAAAAAAAAAAAAAAAGGGGGACCATAAAGAGAGAAACAGACTCGTACTATCCAGCGGCCTAGCTCAGTTGGTAAGGCACGCAAGTGGCGTTCAGGAGGTCTTGGGTTCAATCCCCATTGGCCTCATGYACCTTCCTGGGCAAGCTTGGCGCCCGCCACCTAGAGATATGCCGTTGGTCCCCCCGAGTGGCATTGAGCAGAGACTGCTGATGTTCATAGGGGGAGGGGACCGGAGGGGAGGCACAGTGACTGGCCCATCGAAGAAGCTCGGTCCTGATGCTACCGGCTTGACCGCTGGCCGGTATCGGCCACCTGCTGTAGCAGGGGTCGCACCTGCTGGTGGGTGCAGCTCCCACATGTTCCCTCGTTGGAGGCTTGAGCACGGATGGGGCTGCTACGGGGTTCCCCGTAATACTATAATGACAATAAAAAAGGCCTGAAAGGCCGTCCTGTCCAGATTTGACAGGTAATTGAATTGGTTGGGCTTAAAGAATTAGCCTTTTAAAAAAGAAAAAAAAAGAAAAAAGAAAAAAAAAAAAAAGAAACAGACTCGTACTGATCGAGATTTTTTTTTTTTTTTTTTTGGTCTTCTCCTCATTGGGGGACAGCTATAAATATGTTCTCTCACCTCACATATTTTAACTGGAGTTCTGTGCCCTGTCATGGAACATATATTTTTTTCCCTCCACGACCTACCACTACTCTGAAGTCTATACAGGGGACCCCTGGAAGCATAGCTGTCTACCTCTCTTCGGTGAAGGGAGGTTACCTCTCTCGGTGGAGGGGAGGTAACGGCAAGTTTGCCCCTTTGCCCTCCTAGCGTTTAAGGTGCAGGAATGGGGCCGCTGGTGGGGGCCCGGCTAACACAAGGACCGAGCTTTTTTTATTTTTATTTTTTTTATTCAATTTGGACCATTTCTCGATTTATGTGTGTCATCCTTGCGCAGGGGCCATGCTAATCTTCTCTGTATCGTTCCAATTTTAACGGATGTGGGGGCCCGGCTAACACAAGGACCGAGCATTTGCCCAATACCTGTGCCTCCCTTTTCATCTTCCCCCAACCCCATCGGGTAACAGAAGTGTCTAAACTC